CAACAGGAGGTGGCGGTGGCGCTCTCTGAGGTAAGGTAAAAGAAGGGCAGGAAACGGAGTCCTGACTCCTGGTGCAGCCTTTGCCGTGAAACGGAACAAGAATGTCTGCAGGAGTGGCCTTTTGGTGCCTTGGCCACCGCAGCACCTCCCAGGGCTGTGCAATGATGGTGTTTGGGGTGAAAACCCCCCTCTCCCATCGCTTGTCTTCTGCCAGCACCGCTATGACAGCAGATACTGGGGCGGTGCTTTGTGGGAAAACGAAACTGGCGGGGAAAGAGAAACTGGGGGGGGGGGGGGGGGCGCGCCTGCGTGCACTCCAGTGGGGCCAGGGACAATTGGCTGTGTGGCTCGGCAGGGATGGAGCCGTGGATGTGTGTTGGCCCAGCAACCACCCAAGCAGCTCAGGCCGTCCCGTTTGCTGCTGCTAAGCAGTGTTTTTCCCGAGGGGATGGAGCCGGGGGGGGGGGGGTATGGCTCTGGGGAGGCGGCTGTGCAGGGGGTCCTTGCCTTTCTAAGGCTTGCTGCCAGGCTGAGAATAACCGATCACTCCCCCTCACCCCCCCATGCAGCCCCCCAGTGCTTACCTTACCGAGCCTGCAGGTAATGGAACTGTCTCCAGTGCTCTGGACTGCCCGATCCTGCCTGCAGGGAAGTTGTTCCAGAGGAGGCGAGGGAGGGAAAATGCTCCAGCCTGCTTCAGTGCACCATAGGAAAAGGAGTCTGAGCCCTGTGGATGGCTGCAGCGCTCTGTGGGTCTGCAATAGTGCAGCTGCTACCTGGCAGTAGGGAGGGGAGCTGCTTTAGAGGAACATTCCTGTTCCCCTGACAGGTCTCCACTCTTTCTCAGCAGTGCTGTTGCTGGGTGGTGCTGCTTGCTTCACTCATCCTCGCCGCCGGGCTGGGTTCCTGTGCCGGGAAGGGTGCGGTTGGTTTGGGTTGGTTGGTCAGGATCATCCAACCCCTCACAGGCAGGAATAGAACGGCAGAGCTTGTGACACGTGGGGCTCGCAGGCTTTAGCTTTCCTGTAAATCACGTGGTCATTTAGCACCTCTGTTTCACAACATGCTATTTGATCAGAGTGCATCACTGCTCCTGTTCACAGAGGGGCATTGTTCTGGTGCATTTACAGGGCTGGTCACCCACCTGGGGCGCCTCAGAACAAGGAAATGAGGATCCCTGCCCTGCAGGGAGGGTCACTGCTCCCAGAACAAGAATGTAGGTGGTGTCTGTCCGTATCTGGGTGCCCATGTCCAGCTGTGCATCTGTGCCTGCATCTGTCTCTTGTGTATCCATCCCTGTATCTGTCTGTGTCATTGTTTATACATCTCTATGTGTCTGCTTCTGTCTGTCCATCCATCTCTATCTGCCTCTCCATCCTTGTCCATCTGCATATCAGTCTGTCTCTACCCATCAGCCTGTCCATTTGTCTGTCTCTGCCCATCCCTCCATCTGTCCGTCCTTCTCCTTGTTCATTGGTTTGCCTATCCATTCACTTGTCTCTGTCACTATGTTTATCCTTTTCCCTGTCCCTCCTTCTGTCAGTCTGGCCATTTGTCTGTGTGCCTGTCAGTCCATCCATCCCTTTTTCTGTCTGTCCTCTCTGTTGGTTTGTCTGTCAGTCTGGCCATTTGTCTTTGTCCTGTTGGTTTGTCTGTCTGCCCATCTGTCAGTCCTATCCATCTGTTTTTCCGTCCATCCTTCCATCTGTCAGTCGGTCTCTTTGGCCCTTCTCTTTGTTGGTCAGTCTGGCTGTTTGTCCATCTGTTTTTCTGTCCTTCTCTCTGTCCGTCCGTCTGTCCTTCCATCCATTTTTCTATCAGTCCATCTGTCCATGTGCCTGTCCATCCTTCAGTGTTTCCATCCATCCATTTATCCATCTTTTCCTCTCTCCATCAGTCCATCAGTCTGTCGTCAGTTTGTCTGTCTGTCCATCTGTGTGTCCGTCTGGCTGTCCTCTCCACCTGACCATTTGTCCATCTGTCTGTTTGTCCATCCATCCGTTTCTGTGCGCCCTTCTCTTGGTTGGTCTGTCAGTCTGGCTGTTTGTCCATCTGTCCATCCCTCGGTTTGTCCGTTCATCCATCTGTCGTTCTCTCCATCCATCCGTTTGTCCATCCTTCCATCAAGTCTTTCTCCCATCAGTCCATCTGTCCATCAGTCCATCTGTATGTCCAGTATCTGTCCATCCCTCTGTATGTCCTTCTGTCAGTCCATCCATCTCTCCATTCCTCTGTCCATGGTCCTTGACCTCTGTCCGTCATCCATCTTTGTCCTTTCATTTGTTTCTCCTTCCATCTGTCTGTCCCTCCATCCTGTCCGCTGTCTGTCCATCATCCTCCCTGTCAGTCTGTCTGTATGTCAGTTTGTCAGTCCATCTGTTTGTCCAACAGATGGACAGACAATGGTCAGACAGACGGATGGACGGACAGACTGAGACAGATATACAAATGGATGGACTGACAGACAAACTGACAGGACAGACAAAGATGAGAGAAGAACAGAGGGATGAGGGAGAGAGATGGACAGACAGGCTGGCAGATGGACATAGGACAGGCAGACAGATGGACTGGACTGACATACAGACAGACTGAAGGACACACACACGGGGATGGACAGATGGACAAGCAGTCCATCCGCCCTTTAGTCTGCTTGTTCATCTCTTTTTCCCAGCACCTGTCATTCTATCTGTCCATCAGTTTATTGTCTGTCCATTGTCCCTCCCCCCCGACTCTGCCTGTTGTCTGTCTTGGTCCATGTGTTGTCTCTCTCTGTGTCTCTGTCCATTTGCCCTGGGTGTGTGTCAGTGCGTTTGTGTGTGGTTTCCTGCAGCAGCCCCTGTTCTGGGACAGGACATGGTGGCTGCAAGCCCTGCACAGCAGTGGCACGTTCTTACCTCCTTCCTCTGTGGCTGTCTCCAGGCCTGGTTCCAAAGCTGTGCTGGCCGCACATGCACCAGTGGCTCATTGCTGTGGGCACACCCCAGCACTGACAGCAGCAGTGTTGGTTTTTTTCCAATCTGAGTACAAGTCTTTATTTAATAGGCTTACAAAAGAGCTTTTCACAAGGAGTACAAAAATATGAAATAGGCTTTGACTCTTCCTAGGTAAAACTACCATTGGTTTGCTTCAGACTTTAGAAACGGGTAATTCACGCCATTGGCATCTTGTACATTGTAAAATGAGGAAAGAAAACTTCCCATAAAATAGCTGTACGTACCCAGTCCTACTGTCCATATTTACAGTACATACAGTACTGTCGATTATTGATAAGTTTAAGACACAATGGCTCTGTCATACAAATTCCCGCTTTATAATTTATCCTTTAAGGAATTCCACTGAAAGATGCAGTACTGCTTTCTTCTTCCAGTTATAACATCATTAAGTATCAACACTAACCTGATTAAGACTGATTTGGCATGCTTTGTACTTGTACCACTTGGATCCAATACCACTTTGTAGTAAAAATTAAATAAATATAAATATGTTAAATAAATATATTGTAAAGGAACACCCCACTTCCATTAGAATTCAGCATTTCTTCTTCCTTTGCACATGATCAATGCTTTGTCACAGCTTTTGGGCCAGAGAAAAGAAATACTGCATCTTTAAAACCAGAGGCTTGATGTAATCCACAACCTGCAAACAGGAAAGGGGGGGGGTGTTCTTTTACAGCTTTATCATACCCATTAAAACCAGGGCCTCTCCTTGTCTCCTATTTAGCTCCTTTTTCCCCAGGACTTGTCTTACCTCTGGCTCTGGTGCTCCTGCTTCACAGGCCCACGACACTTGCTGTAGGTAAATCATGGTTAGCCACCATGAGCAGCTCACAGCTGGCAGCAGTGTATGCTCTAATGTCACTGCCTAGATCTGATACTGTGATTTAAGTCAAGTTCAAGCTGTTCTGTAAATACTGGTTGATAATTAAACAATGGGGCTTATTTTCAAAGGTAAACCTTTAACAGCTTTCTCAAGTCAGTATGTTTTAGAACTTCATCATATCTGCTCAGCTATAAGGGACTTTCCAGGTTAGTACTGATAAAGCAGAAATGGTACTCTCTCTACTGGTTTTGGATAATCATAAACCCCTTTATGATCACTGTGGTGTGCCTAATGCGTAACTTGGCAGTAGTGCAATGGCAGGTTCTGGCGATTTGCTACAACTAAAAGGCTCCTTTTGCAGATCCCAGTCCCTAGCAATGCTATGATTTCAATCACTGTATTTGATTCTTTGCAGTAAAACACATCGGTTATAAGATCACAACAGTACAGGGATATTGGGTGATGGTTATATCCAGCTTTTGCTCTCCATTTTTACCATCTTGAGAATAACTCCATCACCAGGGTTCATTGCTTTTCTGAAGTTACCACTTGCTCCTTGGGCTCCCACCATCTCCTGGTCCAGCGCAGGCAGAGGTACAAGGCACTTTTTGGAAGCTTGGTTTCTTCAAAGAGAGAGAATTCAGCTCTTTGGTCCCTCTTTTCCCTGCTGAAGGTAGGCCTGTGTCACAGCCCTGTGCTTGGAATGTTGGTCCTAGAGAAGGAAATTCCATCCCCCTCATCTCAAACAGTGTCTCCCGCAAGGCTCAGCTCTGCAGAGTCCTCATCATAGTAATGCTGAAAGAGTCTTTCGTGGCAGCAGATGTGCATAGCGTGGTAGGTGTGTAGGAGCAGCTGAGGGAAACGAGCTGTAAAGTAACATACAAAGTCATCTGGAATGGAGCCCAGGGTCTCTTGCACTTCAGGAGGCAGTTCTCTGTAATGGTGCTTCTGTATGGGAAAAAGAACAGGGAAATGCTCAGTCAGGGAGGGTCCCTTCACAGATCCTCTTCAAACAGAGCTGTCTCGCATGGACAAAGTAACTGCCTGCTAGTTGACTGTAAAGGAGCTCAATACCTCAATCAAGGTAAGACAAGCAGACTGACAGGAAATGGAGGCAGAAGTCTAGTGTGCATGTGGCTTAGGGGACAAGGTCCTTTACCTTATTCCTCATTGCCCTCAGAAGATCCCGCACGGACCCTCCTTTGTAGGATCTGAATTTTCGAAGATCTGCAAAAGAAATGACAGGATTTCTGCTTGTGCTTTGGTGCAGTTTTAGTTGCTGGCTTCAAGTCAAGTCTGTTTGCCCACAGTCATGTGCACACATGGATGTTTTGACACATAAACACATACTTTATTGTTAGCAAAGTGCTACTTCAGATTAAAGGGCCATTACCTGTCTGAAGAGGGACAGTGATGTGCTCTCTCCAGTCCAGTTTCACCACCTCTCTTCCACCTCTTTCTAGCTGCTTGACTATAGGACCATCTAAAGATTCTTTCTCTATCCGGTCACTAACATCCTAGAAGAGACATTCAGGTTAGTTTTTGTTTTATTTCCAGCTTTTCCCCAGGAATTTAAAATTGTCCTGATAATGGGGTTATGATTCTACTTCATGATAACATGTAATATTATGCTTGGGACTGGGACACAAAAGTTTCTGGGATGATGCTACCAAAGCATCACAGAGTAGAACATGATACCGCCTGGCTATTACACCTTGGCTTCTTCGTTCCTCGTAATAACATTGTGGAGTCTGTCACCTCAAACGTCCACAAAGCGAGGAGAGGCTGAATTCAAGACCTGAATAAGGTGCCTACAGGCATCTTTACTAAGAAAAGATAGAAAAGGTCAAAACAAACCTGAAAAAACTGGAGCTGCTTTTCTAGACTCCAAAAGAAAGGGTGTTTCAGCACACAGCTGGCAGACGGACGTTTCTGAGGGTCCATGCTTATCATCTGCTCTATTAAATCACGAGCGACTATGTCTTCTGCAAGGAAAAGGGTGACAACAGGCTGCTGGGAAATGTTCTGTACCTTAGAAAAGTATGTTCTCTACTCCCTGAGCACTAGTGCCACTAGCTCAAGCACTGCCTGCATAGACGTGCTGTGCAGCCAACAATGTCAGTGTGATTATGAAAATCGAAGTTCAGCTCTTTCTTACCCTTAAAATGTATTAAATAACTGTACACTAAAGCTCACAGGGTTCTGGATTGTGTATCCCAGAGATGCTGTGGGGTACAAACTTTAAGAGCTTTACTTGAAGAGTACATTGGCTGTACAACTTCCAGTACTGCCAAATCTGGGAATCACTGTGGGCGTAGCTCTGTCCTTTCTGTTGGCATTAAGCACCCGGGGAAAGTTCACTAAAGCTGCAGTGCTTTATGGTTACCGATCTTTTCTTACCATGTCTCCCTGCATTTAAAGACTCCAGGCTGTATGCACCCAGCAGAATGTTGGCTTGCCGCTGCAGAGATTTGCCAAAGGGATGGCTGCCTTCAGATATCACATAATAAAAGACACAGCCAGCTGAAAAGATGTCCACGGTATATGTCTGCAAATAAACAACCTTTAATAGCAATAATACGTTGTTTTCCCCCTGAAGACTTCGATCATTGGTAATTTTGCATCTAAGAGCAGAAGAAAACTTTCCAGAATCACATATTCAGCTGCAAGCCAGCATGAATGCCCAGGTGTCAAGTACTGTGTGTCTCAAAGTCTGACTGCAACCATGTGCCACCCGTTGGTTGTGCTGCCTTCTCCCAGGGTACCCCGTAGAAAGATGAGCACTTACAGGGTTCTCTTTGCAGTCTTCACTCAGCATCTCTGGGGCAATCCACCCTTCGGTGCCCGGCACACCCGACCGGCGGCTGAAGCTGTGCCTGCCCACTGCCAGCTTCTTGCATAGGCCAAAGTCTGAGATCATGGCTTTGACTTTTCCATGGGCATTAGGCATCGAGATGAGGATGTTATGGGGCTTCAGGTCCCTGTGGACTATTACAAACACCCATTTACCCACTCCAGGCAAACCCAACAATATTTGTAAACATTTGATGTACTTGCATTGAAAGCCTTTCACAAGGCTGAGCCACCATGCGTTAAACCAAAATCCTGACCTCAAACTATTGTCTTTGGTAGAAGCTCATCACTTCTTTTACACCATTCCCACTAGTCACCGTGTTTTACATAATCCAAAAAATGCAGCGCCCTGAACAAATGGAACTGGCTGTGCAGCAGCATGTTGCAGGACAAGGGCAGTATCCGAGGACAGACACGACTGCTGCCAGTGGAGTTTCTACAATACACTTTGGACTTGAATAAAGAAGCTCCCAGCACCAGACCAGCTTCTCTTTTCTAAGTTCAAGAAAGACAACGCTCCCCATCCAGTACTGTAACAAGAGGCGTTCTTACCGATGCTGAGGGAGTGCAGGTACGCAAGACCAGATGTTGTCTGCTGCAGGAGAGTGATGGGTTGCAAGCCATGGTGACTGAAGGCCTTCTGCTCAATGTACTATACATGACAATAGAAAAACAGGAGATTGAGCCACAAAATTGTTTATCATTACCCTCGCATTAGTAGTAAGTCTGTACCCCTCACACCCCTGAAAAAGCAAAAAAAAAAAAAAAAATAAATTGGGTAACTTGTGCTAGCTGGTAACAACACATGGAAAAGAGCCTTTCATTCCTGGCTGAAGGTGCTGCTCTCTGAACTGTCATTCAGCACTAGAATTCTGTATAGCCCTGCGCTCCAAAAGCAAGAGTTTTCAAAGTCCAGCTGATAGGAGGGGGAGGATGAGTAGAAAGGTGTCTTTCTACAGGTCTGAAAACACCCTTGGTGCAAGAATGTGTAACTGTCACAGAGGTGATGGTGGGAGTAACTGGAACATCTGCAGCAGGCACTTACTTCAGCACCCCAAGCTAAAGGAAATGGAAGGCCTTCCAGGAAGAGGCTGTCACAAATTCTTACCTCCTGTAAGGTGGCAGCACACAGCTCAATGGCGATGTACTGGAACTGCCGGTCCTTCTCCGTGCAGAAGTAGCGGATCACATTGGGATGCTCATCCGACTCTCGCAGCAGCTGCACTTCACGGTTTGCAAAGCTGAAGCACTCGGGAAGAATTCTTTTCACTGCAACATCACGGTTATCAAACGTCCCCCTGCAGCAGGAAGGAAAGCCACAGCACGCTTTGCACTTTCTGTAGACATGGCAAGCTCAAAGCAAGTGACAACAGATGTTTACAGAGGCACATTAAAGCATTTCTCATGCTGGAAACAGATACGTTCGGTCATTAAACATTTCTAAGGGAAGAACAGTCATTTTTGCTCATGAAGAAACACTGCATGGAAGTATTCCAGACACACAGAAAATACTTTCTTAAAAGTTTCGTATTTGTTCCTATCAGATATGTAGGGATATTTTATTTAAAATAAAAACCTAATGCAAATAAGACATTTATTGGTCTGTTTAATGCTGAATGCACGTATTGTCTCCTACCGGTAAACAATTGTCCCTTCAGCTCCATGTCCCAGTACATCTTTGGGGTTAAACGAAATCTTGCCAACCATCACTCTGTCTGCATCTGCATCTGGACAAAAACCAAGAAACAGGAACTGGTTTCATATGGGTCAAGTCAGGCTTTTGCAACTGCACATCCTTCAGGACCAGAATGTAAAAATCTTTTGGCTCATATTTAAATTAACAGCACAGATGATCAACACAAATGAAACATCTCCATTTTGGTACTCACACTGAGCAGGCAAATACTCTGGCGACCAAATGACTAACATCCAGTGTCAAACACACTGTACCCAGCACCTGACATAAGGACAGTGTAAGAGATGGGTGGTTCTAAGACAAACTCTAGGAAGCTTTACAGCTGTCTTATCAAGTGTAGGAAATACTCCTGACCATTACAGAAGTGGGTTTACCAGCAGTTCCCCTGATGAGCCTGGAGAGTGTCCTGGAAGATCAGGCAGGAAGGCAGGTCCTGCTGCATAATCCTTATTTCTTGATTCCAGTTAATCAGTTGTTTAAATGACCCTCTCTGGAGTGGCTACCTCTTATAAAACTAAACTGCCATGGACAACAATAACCCCTTAGCTGGTAATTACGACCTGGGTGTTTAGTTTCTAAAGCAAATAATCCTGCTGAAGGTTAGGGCATGGCATGGCCTGGCACACCAGCACCATGTGTACAAGCGGTCAGACTACATGAGGCTGCTGGTCCTTTTCAGCTTTCTGTTGTAAGAAGTATCTTCACTGTTTTAAGTGCTGTGCTGCAGTGTCATACAGTCTGGGCAATCAGAGACTCACAATAAAAGACACTGGATCAACTTTACCTCCATCTTCTTGCTCAGTGGAGAGGCAGCTCCCAACATCGGATGTGGAGATGTTGGAATAGGCAGAATGGTTTGATGCTCTGGGGGACACATTCGGTGTGCTGGCAGTGGAGCTCTCTGTGCGTCCATTGGAGGTATCCAAGAAATCTGCTTCTGGGGACATCTCACTGGGACCACGGAAGGGCAGTGACTGTTGCTGCAAGAGCTGTATCTTCTCTTCCAGCTGATGCTGCCTCTGTTGCTGCTGATGGACACTCTGTAAGAAGGGACCTCAGTCATGTAAGTGAAGGGAGGTTTTTACAGTAATGGCACACGAGGGAATTCTATAGCTATTGAGGTAGCTACATCCAAAAGGCAAGTAGCTGCTGTGACACTATCAGCCAAGCAGACTGGGGAGCTTTCACAGACATGTTTTCAATCTCATTCTGCACTTCCACTGCAAAGCTGAGAAACTGCACTGCTTGGCAAAAGCTGTTACTAGAGTGACCACAGAGGGATAAAGGCTTTGATTCAAAAGCCAGAAAACCTGATGGTGGTTCAGGTAAGGAAGAGAGGAGTGAAGCTAAGGGTGTTAAGATCATCTTCATGAAAAGAGTAACACATAAACCATCTGTTACATGAGATTTGTAGCCTCTGTGGGCAGGGATAAAAAACCCTGCAGTGTGTTACTTTCTAACTCCTGCACCATTTCTTGGGCTGCAAAATGTTACTCTGCAAACTCAAAAGCCCATCAAGCTAAATCAGCATTACCATTGGATAAGTGATGATAAAAGCCACCCAGCCCACAAGCAAGAAGGTGCTGAGGATGATGGTGGCCATGTCTTTTAACATGGAGTCCACAGGAGCCTCTGGCCGAGGGACAGGCCGAGCAGATTTCTCCTCGATATCCTTTGGAACATCAGGAGGCACTTCTGTGGAGGAAGAACCTTCAACGATATCAATCACCTAAAAAGGCAAAGGAAGCACTGTTAGCTCAGTATCTTCATAGGTAATGGAGCACCTACATGCCAGTCTTTCTGCTAAATCATTTTTAATGATTTCTAACCCTACCAAAGTCAAAGAAAGTTTTGCATGAGAACTAAAATAAAGCAGCTGAAAGCCCTAACTGTGAAATAAGGAATGACACGTCATCCTACCAGTGATTCTATGTGCTAAGTGCATGACATTCCTTCCGAGTCCTTCCCCT